GGAGGAGGACTTTCCAAGCAAACCATCCCTTTACATGTCATTGACCAAAATGAGATCACACCCACTCTTAGACCACTCACTGGCAAAGGGGAAGGCATTTCCATGAATGGCTTGGATCATCTCTGTTTCTGGGCATCTTGCTCCTGATATAAGGAAGAGGAGATCGGCTGTGGGAAGGCAAACAATAGTGCCTGCCGTACTCACCCTCTGTCTTCTCTCTAGGTTGGCCTCCTGTCTTCTCTCCAACCTCTGCCAGGGAGCCTTCCCTGATTTACACCCTTTTGACCAGCACAACCCTCTTCTACCATGTAATCGAACATTACCAAATTCAAGCCACAGTTTACTTCGACAAGGTGTCTCGTCTTTTCATGTGCAAATCTTGTCTTCTCAGCCTATCAGCATTGGGAGACTAATAACAGCTACTAATGAGTAAGTCTCTATTGTGTCCCAGGCACTGTTCTAGGCACTTGTGTAGCCAGCTTGCAAATGGCTCCCAATGATCCATACCTCCTGGTAGTCACACCCTTTTGTAGTCCCCTTCCACATTTTACCAAGGTTAGTCTGTGTGATCAATAGAATATGGCAAAAGTTATGGTTTGTCACTTCTAAGATTAGGTTATAAATGATGTGTGGTTTCCTTCTGGGTAGCACACATTCTCTTTCTTGGATCATTCATTCTAGGGAAAGTTAGCTACCATGTCATGAGCAGCCTTGTGGAGAGGCTTGTGTAGAAAGAAACTGAAACCTTTGACCATGGTTTCAGAATAAGCATGGAAAAGGTTCCTCCTGTCCCAGTGGAGCGTTCTGATATCTGCAGCCCTGGTTGACACTTGACTGCAACCTCATGAGAGATCCTGAGCCAGAATCTCCTAGTTAATCCATTTTTGGGTTCTTGATCCTCAGAAACTGTGTGAGATAATAAAAATTTGTTGTTTTGAACTGCTACATTTTGGGGTAACTTGTTACTTAGCAGTGGTTAATTTTGTACTATAGTGCCACATTATCACATTAAATCCTCACAACAACCCTGAAAGGTGAAGTTTGCTTCTCCCATTTTTCAGATGAGAAAACCAAGGCTGAGATGAGTGTAGTGTCTTCCCACACTTGGAAGTGGCCTAGCTGGGATTTGCCCCATGTCTACTGGATTCCAAATCACTGGGAACCTGGTTCTGTTTTCTCAGATAGAATGTCTCCAGCTCCAGGGTGAAGGTTGAGAAACTGAGGACAGGGGGAGGTGATCTCTTTGTCTGAGGTGTTTTCTCTCCCTTTTTTTCATTTCAATTACTTTAGTTAGCAGCTGCAACATCTATTGTGTACATGTGATTCAGTGACAAGTAGGTTTATTAGGAAAAGAGTCAGAGTTTTAAGAGGGGGATACCTGGGCTCTTGAGTGACCTTGGACAAGTTCCTGCACTCTTTTAGGCCTCAGTTTCTTTTTTTACTATATGCAGATAATGACCCTCATTCCACATTCCTCACCAGGGAACCATGAGCATCAAGTATGAAGGAACTTTGTAAAATGTCAAGTGTTGTGATCCCGGAAAGGTTTGCTTTGAGTGAGGGGTACCTGTCATCCAGGGCTCTCACAGTCTGCAGAGAGGTAGCCCTGCACAGCCACCTCTGCACAAGTAGCCATGCTCCCTCTTCTCTCCCATCCGAGTCTAGGTTCAGGAGACAGAGAATACTGAGAGAAACTGAGGCCCCCAACCCACTTCTTCAACCTCATCTCTCACTGCGACCTCCCTCTTAAGCAACATTGCAGCCCTACTGAACTAATGGAAATTTCCCAACCTGCCAGGAGCATTCTGTATGCTGAGCCTTTATCTGTGCAGTTTCCTCTCCCTGGATACCATTCCCAACTTCTCCACCTGGTGCGTTACAACTCATCTTTCATGACTCAGATGTCCCCACTTCTAGGATGCCTCTCTTAACCTGTTCAAAGCCTCCTACTTCTCTGGATAAGCGCACCGGTCTCCTGCCTGAGCGCTTGGCCTCCAGCTTCTCTTTCCTACTTAAAGTCCCCGTGGTGCAGCTAGTGGCCTTTCTAAAACACAAATCTTGTCATGTCACTCCCTGCTTAAAATAACCGGCCAACGGAATAATCCACCAGTCAATGCTTCAAGAGCTCCTCCTTGCTCTCAGGAAGACATCCAAAGGCTTCAGCTGGGACTCAAGGCTTGCTCCCTGCTGGTGTGTCCAGCCTTAGCTCTCCTTTCTCCTGATTGCCCAGCACAGATGGCACACCCCAGACACGTTGCTCTTGTTCCATACCTCAGACACTCCTCGCTCTCTCATGACTTCCTGCCTGCTGGTCCTGTTGTTTTCTGTGCCCATTCCCATCTTCTCCACCCAACCTTGAAGGCCAGCCTTCCCTGGTGGCCCCAGGAAGAGGCCAGGGTTTCTCTTCCCTCTCCTATATGACTGCTTAAGCTTTTGTTCCTGGTTGTCAGCTCTCCTCTTTACACGGGGAGTTTCCTGTGTCTAACACATGGTTGTGTCCCTGACAGGGTCAGCACAGGTGCTCGGAGCAGCCATGTAGGATTTGTTGGTTAGTTGAATGAATGAATGAATGAATGAATGAATGAATGAGTAAATGAATGAATGGTGAATGAAACCATCCTGGAACCATCACTTCTCAAGAAGGCCAGCCTCAGAACTGCTATTTTCCAGGGTAAGCCCATATTATAGCAAAAGAGGAAACAGAAAGAAGGGACAGCTCTGGAAGAGAGAGAGAGAGAGAGAGAGAGAGAGAGAGAGAGAGAAACAATAAAAATGTAAATCTGGTTGAGAAAAGCTGTCCCAGGTTGGCTGTAGGGAGAGATAAGACTGGGATGGCTGAGCCCTGGCTGACAGTGGAAGAGAGATTAGGGGACAAGCAGAGCTGCAGGCAGTGCAGGGCAAAGGGAGTGTGTCTCCCCTCAGTGGTACCTCCCCCCTCTGTCTTCGCCGCTTTCCCTGCCCCCATGCTCTATGCACTCCTTAAATTCTTCCAGGGATCCTGGATGGAGAAAAAAACTTATAAATGTTGATCATCAAGTGCACTGCTTGTGAGTAAAGCATGTTATTATCTGATCTTCCTAACTCGGGAAACAGGAGATAGGAATGGGCAGCCTCACTTTCCAGGCGAAGAAACAGATGCAGAGGGGTTTGATCACTTGCTCAGGGTCACACCATGAGTAAGCGGAGTGTAGATTTGAATTCAAATCTGACCAACTCTAAAACTCTGTTCTTCCTCTCCACTGCACTGGAGGTCCTGAGTCAGGCTTCAGATGTCCCCAGCCTCTGAAATCAGATGCACAGTTGGGTCTGTGCTTGTGTGCGGTTTATCCTTCAAGGTGATTGTCACCCACTCCCCTGCCTATTCCATGTTGCCTCCCTGGAGGTGGCAGCCTTTCAGCTGAGTATAGAAGGCCGGGATACAGCGAGGTGGGATGAAGAAGGCCAGCTGGGCAGAAAAAGCACATGCAAGGATATGGTAGGGGGAAGGAATTCAACAGGTCTAAAGAATGCGAGGGTGCCGTGGGTTCTTGCTCCGCATTTATTTGTGCTGTAATCATGACCATTGGCTCCCAGCTCCTAAGGTGCATCTGCCTGCCCTGAAACTTCCCAGCATGGGTCTATAGGCCAAAGCCACGCCAGGCCAGGCACCAGGATATCTGTTCTAGTCCCAGTTCTGTCCTCTGCTGGATTTTATCACCAGTAGAATCTTGCAGGAAGATTTCACACGTTCTCCTGAGCACACAGGCACAATTGTTTGTGGCTCCACATTGGCCAGAGGCCAATGTTAGGGAAGAGAGCTAGCTGCTCCCTGGGCCCCCTCCATCCCTGGAAACCCCTTCGGCCCTTACCTGTTCCACTCCTGGCTCTCAGCCCCATGTCTCTCTTGCCATGACTCCTGGAGTCTCCTTGCCCTGACCAACCTGAAAGGATTTAAGCACAAGGACTTCATCTTCTACTTCAAATCTTAGCTCAACCCAGAGGTAGATTCAGCATGAAGCCCCAAGGAGGGGCCTCCGCATGTGTTCATGTTGTCATGTTTTTGGGAAATTTGCTAAGGTAAGATGCTTTAACCACAGTCAGTTAAGATTACTAGTTCATTTCACTCCAACTTCCCTTATGTCCCAACTGCCCTTCATGTGAGGTGGTTGGAGGGGCCATGGGCATTTCTGGGATCTGGCTAAGGGGAAGTTGAGTTGGGGATCAATTTAATTTGGGTTCATTGAGATATAATTATGTGGTTCTCAGTCATCTCTGCATATAGGTAAATCATTGCCAGCCACCTCTATGTGCAGAATGGCTTCTAGGAACCTTGCTATGCACCATCCAACTCACTCAGAATAGTGACATCACGATGTCATATCCAGAGGTCATCTCATGACATGAATGCTTTTTATGCCACCTGGCCCTGGAAGCGCATGGACAATGGCGGAGAAATGGGAGAAGCAGGTTTGAAATGTATAGAAACAAAAGCTAGTCTGTGGGAAATCCTTCCAGTTGTCAGGGGGAAATTATGTTAGAGGTGTGCACTGCAGTTAGTAAAAAATACTGTGCTATTTTTCTAAATTGTGTGATGTAGTTGTTTCGACTTTTTTTCCTCATTCTAGGTAAATATTCACTTTCTTACCTCATTTTGTGTTCTTTTTCTTAGAGGGCTCAGTTCCCACAAAGTCCAGGTCTAACCCTTGTGCCATCATTTGTTTTCTGTGTGACCTTGGGCAATTTGAACCATTTCCTCTTGGGTAAAACGTAAATGACGGTTTGCACAGGTGAGGACTCAGAATGCCTCCTGCCCTTATTCCATTTCTGAAACCATTACTAGAGGAAGTAGCCCAGCCAAATAAAAATTAGACCAGAATATACAGATAGGGGAAGATGTAATACACAAGAAATATGGTGAGCAGTGAATCCAGTAAAACTTAAATCTAAATAATGGGAAATAATGCGGTTGTTGCAAATTCTAATGCAGTTTGTAAGAAAGGATTTTTGTAATAGGAGAGACATTGTGCAAGGACAAATTTAATAACAAGCTGTATCTATAATTCCAGGTTATTTTTGCAAAACCTGAGAAACAAGAGGGAAGGAGAAGGAATATAAACATACAAACAGCCTCATCTTGTTGGAGACTTTGAAATTCTTGACATTCATAAATACAGGCTCAGATATTTGTTAAACGTTTAAAAGTATCAACAAATAGTGGAATAAAATGGAAATCAGAACCTCTGATCTTCCCTCTTCTTTCACGTGAGATAGTCTCAAAGTCTGCTGCTGAGAGCTGCTCAGGGGCCCCAGCCAGTTGTGTTCCCTGTCCCCTCAGCTTCTCCCAGCCCCCAGCACGTGGCTGGACACAGCGCCTGGGAAGCCACTGCTGATGGCTCCCTGTCTCCTGCCTCTGGGGCAGCAGGTCCCAGCCAGGTCAGATAGGTGAAGGCAACAGAATGGGCTGGGAGCAGATCAGGAAACTCCCTCCTGATCCATCCCAGGAGGATAACCGGGCCTGGACATAAAATCAGAGAAGGCCTGGTGTGCACAGGCCCAGTTCATTTAGATCCAAGCATTCCACGTACTGACTCACTGCACGGAGCCGAGCGTCACTGCTCCCAGCATTACAGGCTGGGCATTACAAAGAGCTGGTCCTTATGCCAACCCAGGCATCGCGGAACCAGGCATCCATAGAGCCCCAGGTGGCACAGACTCAAGCCCCTAGGAGGAAATGGCAAAATTAGGATTCTAGTTGCAAAAGTCACAGTGACTTTGGGGGCTAGAGGGCTGGCCAAATGTGTGAAATCTCCACAATGCACAGGGTACCAGTGAGTGTGCGTTGGGTGCTTTTGGTCTTTGAAGTTGGAAAATGCCCAAGTGAGGGGCCTAGTTCTCCCTCTCCACTGGAGCCCCTTGCCCAGACTGTGGCTACCTGAGGGCAAGGTCTGAGACTTCCAGAGTCCAGAGAGTGAGTCTCCCCACTAAGCTAAGACCGCTTGGGGCCCTCATACCAGATTTCCTAAAGTCCCTGCCCAGCCTGGATATCCTGAGTGTGAGGCCACTTCCCTCCCCGTGGATCTCTCCTCAGAGCTCAAAGCTCTGCCTCCAGGGGGCGCCAAATGGACACTTCTTGACGAGACTGTCCTGGCCCCACCCCTAGGCTGAGTGGGGCGGGGAGGAGACCTGAGTCCATCCTGACTGCACAGATGGACGCAGCTGGAAGGGGGCTGAAAGCTGGTAAACCCATTTCCACCTGATGGATGGTGGCTAAGGTTCAGAGAGGGTGCTCCAGGCAAGCGGCAGAGCAGGGCTAGGATCTGGTGTGCAGGGCAGCCTGGCTTACTGTTGTCCACTTCTCAACTCTAGGGCTCTGGGGAAAAGATGCAGCCCCTCCACCCCACCCAGGAAAGCCTGGTTTCAGGTGAGCCTCTCTGGCTGGGGGTGAAAGAGGGATGACCTTCTTGCTTCAGAAGTGGCCAACATAGCAAACCCCCAAGTAACTCCTTGGTTTAGATGAGCAAACCACACCCAGAGAGGGTCAATGACTTGCCTGAAGTCACACAGCAAGTTAGTGGAGGAGTCAGGATTGAAAAACATGGCTCCTGACAACCAATCTCAGGCTAAGGGCCTAGAGGAGGTACTTGCCGTGGCACCACTCTTGGCCAGGGTGGGGTCCTGGGACAGCTCACATTGTGGATTCAACAGACTTCTTCTCTGGTCCGGGAGTTAATAGCTGCTCCTGTAGGCCAGGGCATGTCACCACCTTGGTCTCCTCCTCTTTGTCCTGCTGCCTTAGGATAGCCAAAATCAAGGCGAAGCAGACCAGGGAGCCCATCTTGAAGAAGAACTGGAGGCCAATAAACCTGGGAAAGAGCAAGTGACCCTTGGGATCAGGACCTCCTCCTGTTCAGGGCTTGGATGTCCTTGGACTGGAAGCAGAACAGTGTCAGTAATCATCACCCATTATGCAGTTGAAGCCATTGAGGCCCTGAGGGGAGAAGAGGCCCCCAGCCCCAGTGGCATCGATGACACCTTAGCCTGGAAGAAAGGGATAGACTATGCAGGAGGAACCCTGGGTGGGGAGCAGAAGCCTGGGCACCCTCCCTGCCCTGTCCCTGACTGCCCTGTGGCCTGGGCCAGCCCTGCCTCTGTCTAGGTCTCTCTAAGGACTCAAGGGGGCCAACTTTGGATCACCCCCCTCCCCCCCACCACCACCAAAGGAAAAAGAGGAGTCCTTCTCCCCCATTTGTCTAACTCAGTGATGATTTTCAACTGGTCTGCCATAAGAAATTTTAAAACATGTAACACTTGATTGTTTAGTCAGGGGAACTGACCTCTTTTCCATTAGGTTGTCAATTGAACACATGACAGCAGCCAACACAGCAATAGCCATCTGGTGTGAATGAATCAAAATTATACCTATATTTTTGGTCAGCTCGGCAAAAAATATATTTTTTGGTGTGCCACAGAATTTTAGTAACTAGTTTATGTGTGCCATGGGATGAAAAAGGTTGAAAATCCCTAGTCTAACTCACCACGTCTCTCATTCGGCTTTTTCTGCCCTAGGAAGTCCCTGGACAGTCCCAGCCCACAGGAACCATGCCCTCCTTAGAGCTGGAAGTGACCAGCTCCGTGCTCCCAATCCTGCCAGCAAGTACCCCTTCCCCAACCTTCGCACCCATCCCAGGGCCAGCAGCCTCTCTGCCTTCAGGTCCCTTTGGGATTCCCATTGTACAAGTGGGAAGACTGAGCCCTGAAAAGGCAGGTCTCACAGTGAGGGAGAAAGAGCTGGGCCTGGATCCCAGGCCTCCGGTGTTACAGATAGGACCTTCTTCCTACCCCACCCCAATTTCCTTTCTCTCGCAACCGGGCTGCTCTGGTTCTCCTCACACTCAGCCATGACAACGCATGTTCCTGCACTGACTGCTGTCAGATGGCTTGGGTTCAAGGCCCAGCTTCGCCTGTTATCAGCTGTGTCTTTGAACCACTTTAACTCTCATTTTTCTCTTCCATAAAAGGGGGAGACAGTGTCGAGCTGGCAGTACTGGTGAGCACAACACTGGATATAGCATCTGTCACCAGCAGGACTTGCCCTCCCTGCTGATGTCCTGCCTGGGACTCCTCTAGTACTTTCAGCACCCTTCCCACAGTCCCCTGGCAGCCCCCACCCTAGGTCTCACCGGTTTCGGAGCAGGTCATGGTCATAGTAGCGGCAGACGGCCCGACGCCCACAGCTCTGGGCCCAGTACACACAGGTGGTGTCGATGGCACTGCCGTGGATCACAGGGCTGGGCATCCAGGCTGGAGGAGGAGATGTTCAGGGGACAATAGACCTGGAATTCCTGCACCCCCACCCCCTTACTCCCTGCCATACACAAGCCCTTAGGGGCTCTGAGCCACTAGAGGCCTCTTGGCCTCTACGTCTTTGGCTCTCAAACCCACCCCTCACCCTGGTATCAGAGGCTGCCTCTGGATAGGCTGTCTAGCTGCTTACACACCCATCTCTGGGTACCTGGGTCGGATCTGTTTCCCCATGGGTCTGTGAACCCCAAGGTCAGGGACTGGGTCTCACTCATCCCTGTGCCCCCAGCCCTGGCACACAGTATCTGGACCAGTGGTCCCAAGTAGGTCCTTTACCCAAAACTCTCAGGAGCATGAACTGGATTCCCACAGCCAAAGTCTTGTCTTCTTTCTTCACTCCCCTAACAAGCAGGGATATAGGTGACATGAGGATCGAGAGGGTTCCAGCCCTCAAGAGGCTCTCACCATTCCTTCTCTCCCACCATCCAACACCAGCCTCCCCTCCCCAACCCCCCAAGGTCCTATGGCAGGATGGGCCCAGGGCCTCAGGCTCCACACTCCATTTCTGATCAACCTACAGAGCTTGGTCCCCATGTACCAGGCACAGCCACTGACCATCAGGGCCCTGTGCTGACCTCCCTGCGTTTGTGGTCACAGGTGCCTCCCTTTTCCCCCGACCCCTGGCTCCACCAAATTCTCCCTCCCTCCTACACTTGAAAAAACCTGGAGCTGGGCAGCCAGACATGACTTCTAACTTCCTCAACCACTGTAATGCTGTAGCCCAGACACTCTGAAAAGCTCTGGCTCCTCTCCTAAGTGATACCAGTGGCTGGCATTTACGGAGGGCTGACAGCGAGCTCAGTCATTATTGCAGCTCCCACCTCACCCTGTGAGGTAGGTGTATCATTAGCCTTGTTTTACTGATGAGACAGCTTCTTGGCCAAGTTAAGTGACTTAGTAAGGATTCCACGGCTGACGGACGCCAGGAGTTAGAATTTGTGCAGCACGTTGCCTGCCTGAACTCCTCTTAAGCAGAATGCCTGCTGGGGTGTCTGATTCCTCTACTTTCTTTCTGTGGCCAGACTCTTTAATGAATCTACATGTCTTCTAATATTTGTAAGGGGCTCCATCTCCATTCTAATTTTCTAGAAAACAAATAGGGAATAAAATAATCCCAGCATAATGAAAAATTGATATTATCCTTCTACGAGGTCCCCTTATTGCAGCCCCCCATCCTGGGAGCTGCTGACTTTGGCCTCAGGTGACAATTTGTCGGTCCCAGCAGGCACCTTCAGGACAGTAGGCAGAAATATCTTGGACCAAGAGGCAGTGCTCAGCATAAACTGATTCCGCAGTGGGCACTTAATAAGTGGACCACACTGATAGGATTCGGTTTTCTGGATGCACCTCCTATGGCCCGCCCCTGACAGATAGGGAGCAGAGAGTCAGGTGACACTCCTCTGCTTCCTCACCCTTGGGTCTGGGAGGCAAAGGCAGGACCTAGGGTGAGGCCTCCCCTCCCCTGGGGCAAATAGGGGCCTGGGCTCTGGGCTCTAGCACCAGTACTATTCCACTTGCTGCCCAACACATGCTACAGGACCTGGGGTTAGCTCCTGAATTGCTCTGAGCCTCAGCTTTCTTATGGTAAGATGGGAGAAAACCTCATCTCAGTGGTTGCCATGAGGATGAAGACAGGACAGTGGGAGCCTGGTCTGTTGCGGGGCCCACCTATACACTTTCTTAAAACTCCTGCCTCAGGATTCCTTGTCCTGCCTGTGGTTAAGGACCTCTTGGAACCCACCAGCTCTGGCCCGCCCCTGCTTTCACCTTAGGATGAGCATGAAGGAGGGTGTGTGGGTGACACTGGCCATGGCTGCACCCATGCCAATCAGGAACATGAAGGGTAGCACCAGGTGGCTGCAGGTCGACTCGCAGGAGCCCGCAGGCACAGGGCCACCCCCCACCACGCAGCTGCAGTTGGTGTAGAAAACCTGGGGGGACGGGGGAAAGAGCTTTCAGGAACCTCCAGGAGCAAGCAGCTGGCCAAGGGCCTGAGGCCCCAGAAGGCTTGAGAGACCCAACCAGCTGGGGCAGAGCTGATGGGAGGCTGGGATTTCTGACCCTTTGGCTGTCAGGATGGCTGGAGCAGCCAGGCAGGGACCTGGGCTCAGGCTGTCCATCCGCACACAAATGGGGGAGCGTGCGCTGAGGTGGTGGGGAGAGAGGCAAGTGGAAAAGAGAAAAGGGAGAGGGGCCTAGGAGAGTGTTACCCCAACACACCACACATCCACAGACACACACACACACATTCACACATACATGCCCACACACATCCACACATCCTCACATCGACACTCACACATATACATTCACACACACCATACATACACACATTTGCACACACCATATACACACACACATAATTCACACACACCATACACACACCATATACACATATACACATGCATATTTGCACACACACACACACAAACTCATTCTTTTACCTGGTGACGTCAGAATGTTCCAAATTCCTGACCATATGTGCAAGGAATCAAAGCAACAAAGAGTTTTGGGGAAGGAACTATGATTTTTCAGCTCAGTGTCCTCCCTCCCCACTTTCCTGCATCTCCCAGGGTGCTGCGCCCTACAGTGGGCTCTCAAGGACAGACTGAAGCAGGATGGAGATGGAGTCAGCCCTGCAGGAGGAAGGCTTTACCAAAGAAGGGTATTGGATTTGGGCTTTGTGGAATGAATAAGAGTTTGCCAAGAAGAAAATTGGAATGAGTAGAGGGAGGGTCACATGTAAAGTCACAGTGGCATGAAAGATCCAGCAAACCTGCCTGGAGCAGAGAGCGCAGCAGAAGGCATTGGGGAAATGCTCGGAGGGTGCACTGGGGTGACGCTATGAGAGAGGAACCTGGAGTGCTGTTTCCAGAGACACAGGCGACCAGGTGCCCCGCCAATCATACTGCTGACAAGTTAAAATACTGGATAAGGTATTGAATGTATTTTCCTGAATGCACTCACAAGCTGGCAGAATGTGAAAATACTGGGGTTCAGTACTAAGTGAGGCCAGCCCAGAAAGATGAGCAGAGTCCTAAAACAAGCTTTGGCAGCGGAGTATAGCTTTCTGAGGTTTGGGGGACTACAGGGCCAGAGCACGAGTCCCAGCCCTCCCTCCTGCCAGGGTGAAAAGTCTAATAGGGGACCCCCAGAAAACTGGGACCCCTCTAAGGGCTGAAGTAGGAGTAAAAGCTGACTTCTTTCCAAGCTGCAGGGAGCCATCCCAGTCTGGCTAAGGGTGCGTTTGATTGCAGCCCGCATTCCTACCCTCTAGTGGCCTGGAAAACCTTCAGCCAAAGATTCTTTCAGAAGTGGTCTAGACTGGCAGTGCCCTCAGGAATCCAGAAAAAGCAAAACTAAGCCAGGAATCCCAGGCTTTTCTTTTGTTCCCCATATACCAGAGTTTCCTGACCAGTGTGCCCCAGGGACCTACGGGCTGCAGCCGGTAGACAGGTGTGCAGGAATGGGTCCCAGTGTGGCCTGGCTGGCCTGGGGCAGCTGGAACGCTCTGGGCCTCTCACCTTCAGCCCTGGCAGCCTCAGTCACTTCCCAGTGTGAAAAGGGTTGGGAAGCCCTGAGGTGGATGCTGGGAGTCTTGGAAAGATTTTAAGCATGGAAGAGAAAAGACCCAATGGTACAGAAGCTGCTCTGGCAGCTGCAAGGGGATGGGCATGGAGAAAAGGGTATTGATTTGAGGGGGGGGGGACACCCAGGATTCAGGCTTGGGGAAGTGGGTACTCTGTCCTGCTCTTTCCATTGCTCTGCAGAGCTCCTATGCATGGTGAGGCTGTGGCACCACGTGTGTGTGACCCCCGGAGCACACATCCTGTTCCTCTAGTGTATCCACAACCCAGTGAGTCGCTTCACCTACAGGCTGAGCGACTCACTGGGTTGTGGATACACTAGCGGGACAGGAAAGTGGAGAAATCAGCCAGGGCAATTTCACTGGAAGAGAAATACCCTGCCCTATTCTTTTTCTGAGAGGCTGGGGTGGACATAAAAGCTAGAGGCATTTCTCTTGGGGATTTTCCCAGCCCCTCACTCACATTCATCTAATTCTATGGCAGAAAGTTATTCTTATAAATGACTTCAATCTCTCCATCTGCCTCTGATTCAGCCTTACTCCCTGAGCTCTAGATCCCACCAGCCACCACCGTTCCCCATCTTTCCCCAGTCACTCATAAACAGTTACTGAGCACAGCTGTGCTGGACACAGACCCACCCACCCCTGGGCCCAGGAGCTCACAGTTGGCCAAGGAGGCAGGCTCACCAAGAGACGATTCCAGGCCCAAGTGACAGTTCCTGAGTGCTGACCAGGGCTGGGCTGCACCTTCCTCCAAGTACTATACCAAAACACAACCTCTGAGGGTGCTCTGGCAAGGGGCCTGGGCTGGGAGGTCAGAGCCCTGGGCTCTAGTCCCAGCTCTGGCACTAAGACTTTGAGTGATGCCTAGTCCTTTCCTGGGCCTCCATTTCCCATCTGTTTAATGGGCATAAATAAGAGTGGGTATCACTGAGTGCTTAAAATTCCCCAGGCACTGTGTTAAATGCTTTCCATGGATCATGTCACATGGCTCTTCACTTGTTATTTAATGAATGCATCTGGGGAAAGCATTTAACACAGTGCCTGCCATATAGTAGGCAATCACTACTATCACTTCCATTTTATAGACCAGGAAACGGAGGCCCAGATGAGTTTGCCTAAGGTAACAGAGGCAGAGGCAGAGCAGGGATTCGAACCTTTGAACCATGTGGCTTGGCCTCAGTGCTCAGGGGCCCATATTCACAATTCACTGTCCCCTTGGGGATCCAGCCCCAGCCACTAGGGCCTGGAGTCTCTTGGAGTGACCTTGGGGAGGTCAAACCAGGTCAGGACAGTGAGTGATAGGAGTCTCCAAAGGGTTGTGTTGTGATTATTTCGAATGCAAACAGTTTACACAGCCCAGGTGCCACCTGTCTGGCTTCTGAAGCGCAATCAGCAGGTGCTTCACTCTGCACCAGCCAGTGCGGACCAGGTCTCTCCCCGGAGGAGCTGCAGGCTTAGATAGTGGTGCCAAGTAGGACACAACAGTAGCTGGGGGACTCTGGAGAGAGGGAAGTATTGTAACAACAAGCCTGACCCTACACACACATTCTTTACAACCTGGGGGCTGGATATTGTCCCCCTTTGTCATTTGGTGAGACTGAGGAGAAAGGAGAGGAAGAGCCAGCTGGCCTCGGTGGCCTTTCCAAGGTTCACACAGAATGCACTACTGCGGGTGACGCTGCCCCTTTCCCACCCTGAGAGTTCCTTGAGGGCAGGGCCCCTGGGGTCTGGGTCCCTGACCCAGAAGATGGCTGACTGTGCAGCCTCCCCTCTGGTCTTCTGTCTGTGGGCCTACACTCTGCTCACCTTCCTCCACACCATGGCCTCAGTGTGATCAAACACAGGTCTGACTGTCACTCCCCTGCTTAAAGGTCATCCAAGGCTCCTCATTGCTCTCTGGATAAAGTTCCCACTCATCGTCTGGCATTCAAGGCCCTTCTTGGTCCGGGCCTTGCTTTCTCTCCGTGAACCCTAGCTTCAGCTTCAAAAGCTCTTCTCAGTTTCATGAAACTGTGTGTGAGGAGTGTGAGTGTGCACGCGCACGTGCGCACCATGTGAATGTGAATGGGCTTGCTTCCAGACTCGGCTTCTGCTCTTCCCCCTGCTTGGAAAGCCCTCCCCCAGTTTGCCTGCTCATCCTTGAATATCCAGCACAAATGCCACGTCCCGTGAAGCCTCTGGGACCCTCCCAGGTGGCTGAATCTCCTTCCATCCTTGTCTGTATGTGCGGGCACCACTTCTGCCCAGCAGCACCCCTGGCATTCCTGAGTTATTTCCTTTTGCATCTCTCCTGCATGGACAGCTGGAGCCAGATCTGGTTCCCCTGTGTTCTGGGCACTGGCACATGGCGGGGCCCAGGCTGGCAATGAAAGCTTATTGAGAGAATAAAGTTCTACATCTGCCAACAGAAGGAGACAGGCAGAAGAGCCAGAGAGTGAGCACATTCAGAGTTGGGGAGTGTGACAGGCACACACAGAAATGGAAGGGCAGAGCCCATAAGAGGTAGAGGGAGCAGCCAGAGGCCTGACCTACCTGGCTTTTGTCCAGAGACTCTTGGACCACCTTGTTTGTGCAGCCTGCGTGGCAGGGTGTGAGGTACTCCACATGGGTGCTGGGGTCGCAGACCGGGTTAAAGTCATCTGAAGGGCAGGAGCAGGGCTCCATGCAGTCTGGAAAGAGCTCCAGCCTAGGCTGGACACTGGTGGGAGAGAAGACCAGAGGGTTGGTCTGGCTCTCCCTCCCTCAGGCCACTAGCTAGATACACCTCAGCCCTCAGCCTGGCTCCCCACCCCAGAGAGCAGTGGCTAGAGATTTCCACCCCATATGGGTTTTTCACTGTCAGAGCTGCTCTACGACTTGGTGGTGAGCTCCTTGCAGTGGAGGTGTGCAAGCAGGAAGGTGGCTGGAAACTTCGGCGACCTCTCGATGGGAGTGATGGGGCATAGAGTCTGTCTGCTCCAGAGGCCTCTGAGATCTCCTCCAGCCCCAAGAGCCTGTGAGTGTTTGAACTGCTTCAGTGAACATCTCTGCTTTTCAGTGGCCCTTCTTTAGGGAACATAAGATAAATTCCTTCCAGAATCTGGTCTTAGATGAAAACGTGCCTTATCTCGATGTAGCTGGATTACTTCATTTTCTTCGGAGAGATGTGTGTGGAACTCAGGATACCGACTAGCTGTGGGGGCTCTGACCTGCTCCTGCCTCTCTCTGGGCCTCAGTTTCTTGGCCTGCCACTTTGGCTGAGGATCCCCCGCCCCATCACCATCATTTGACTCATGACCTCTCACTCTCACTACCCTGTTCACTGTGTCGAGGGCACGTTTTTGTCCCAGGAGAGCCCCTACTTTAGTCAGCCAGGGCAAGATGGGGCAGGAGATCAGGAGAGAGGCTGAGTCCCAGGCGCAGGTCACGCTGGGAGGGGGGCAGAGGAGCCCGTGGGACAGCTTGGAGGGAGAAAATCTGCCAAGGAACCAATGGCCCAGCTGAGAGGAGGAGGCCAGAGGGGACAGCTGGAGGTCTTGCGGGCTTGGGGAGGGTGTGGGCAGAGGCCCAGGCAGCATGGCAGGTCTGTTCAGCTTAGTGAAACCTCAGTTCCCTGGAGAGGAGTGTTAGCAGGGGCCGGGGAGGTGGGTGGGACAACAGTTGAAATGACCTATCGCCAGAGTTGGTGGGGAGGTGGGACAAAGGTGAGCTCTGCTCTCCCTCTAAGGTGGGATCTCCATCTGAGGGGGCAGAAAATCATGGGCCAGCACAGTCCTCTCCTCCTTTCCCCCTGCGAGGTGGCGCTGTGAGTCTCACACAGTATGGCACTGTCTGAGCTGAGGGCCCATCAGGAGGCGGCACCAGGAGTCTCTGCCCAGGGGGAAGCACTTTTCAAAGCTTCCCTGCCAGCAGCTGTAAGGCTGAGCAGGTGAGAACTGGGCAGTTCCTCAGCCCCTTGCTCCTATGGGGAGAGCTCTGGCTCCAGGCCCTGTCCCCTCCCAGCCAGGCAACCCTGGGTGCACAACTTCACCTTTCTGAGACACACTGTCCTCATCTGTGAAGTGGGGATAATGGCAGGACCCATCTCAGAGATGCTGTGAGGGTGCAGTGAGATGGAAAACAGGGAGAGCTGGGCGGGGCGTTGGATGAGAGGCTGGCCTCTGTTCTTGGCAGCCATCAGTATCATTAGTTGGGCTGGAGTATGAGAAATTCCACTCAATTTGCTCAGTTGGTCCTGAAACGCTTTCTCAGTGAATTAGAACCCAAAGTTCAGTGAGTAAATTGCAAGAACACAGATGAGAACACAGGCAAGATGAGATGTCAGAGTCAAGGTGAGAGGGAGAAGAAGAGAGAAATAGGCTGGGATGTGATACAGGCTGGCTTTTTTGTTTTAAATCCTCACCTGAGGACATGCTGTGGGAGAGAGGGGGGAACATGGATGTGAGAGAGAAACGTCAATTGGTTGGCTACCTTATGCTCCCCAGCTGGGGACTGAACCTCCAACCCAGGTATATGCACCAACTGGAAATCGAACCAGCAACCTTTCAGTGTACAAGATGACACTCAACCAACTGAGCCACTCTGGCTGGTATAGGTTGATTTTTTTTTTTCCCAACTGTGGTAACATATTCATTTACTTTTTATTCCAAAAATCAAGTCAAGGCCCTGACTCCCTCATCAGACCCAGGGCCTGGCTGAAGCACTGCTGCTGTGCCTAGAACAAGGCTCTGCACATAGAAGGCCCCACCCTGGACAGCAGAGATTCCTCATTGTTTGGGAAAAGAGAAGGAAAGGAAGGGGAGGGGGAGAGGCAAGGGGAGGGGGAAAGGAAAGGGACGGGGGAGAGGCAAGGGGAGGGGGACAGGTCAGTGAGGTGGGACCTGGGACAGAGAGGGCCAGGGCTGAGCATTTCTGCAGCCTGAGCCAAGCCCCCACCCCCACCCCTGTCACACTGAAGAAGCCCCAGGTGCAGAAAGCTGGCACCTGGGTGGAGGGAGGAGATGCCCAGGGAGAGGCAGGTACAGAGAAAGTTGGGGAATTCTAGCTGAGTGCAGGCCAGCTCAGGCCTGGAGCAGTTCCCAGAAAAAATGAAATCATTCTGGAGAAGAGTCAGCAATGTAACTTCCAACATCCTCTCCAAGATGCTCCCTACGGGGTATGTGTGGGGTGGGGAGCAGAGTGTGGGAGAGGGAAGGGAGATAGGCACCAGAGGATTTCCTCCTGGGGGGTGGATGCAGGTGCTCCCACAGATGTGGGAAAAGAATTCTGGAATTTGAGGGCCATGGAACAACAGAATTTAGCTCCCAGGCTCTAAGAACCAAGATCTCCAAGGTCTCCAGGCCAACCCCTTCCCAAAGCATAAGTCTCCTCTGCAGTGTCCCTGATAGGGGCCTCCCAGCCCCTGCTCACCCCCTCTTCCCCCCTC